ATTGTTAGCCCTAAGATTTTGATAGCACATATACTCTAGCTTCACTGAATATTCCTCCAAAGACTAGGTTACAAAAATCCAGCAAGCAAAACCAAATAATGTGGCTTCAACATTGACGGTTCTCATCCTTCAAAATATCGATGTAAACAAGGTAATCAATTTATTGTCACTCCGTCTTTATTCTTAAACCAAGAAACTCATGAAGAAGAGATTAAGGAATATGTTAATAGCAAACAAATGCAGTAAAGAAAATTTAAGCCTCAATCAATAGCATAGTATATTTTAAAGCCTAATCAAGATTTACGATAATATTCTACATTTAAATCTGGCATATTTCTATTGTGGGATACCTAGATAAAATTTGTGACCAGGTAATTAACCTTAAATGATTCTTACAAGTGTATGGAAAGCGGGACATATAATTGTGGTAATTTAACAGTATAGGTAAATAAATTTGAACACGGATTTACGATAAGGAAACATTCTAATTGTAAGAAAATTTATTTCAGATTTGAACAGAAATAAATTACACGAAAAAACTATAATATTTATAGATGTTAGATAAAGATAACAATAATATAAAGAAAGATAAGACAAACAACAGTGATATTAGGAGATTCAGACAGAAATTAGATAGTTGTAGGATTAATGCATACTCGAATAACCTATTTGAATTTTTCAACCATTTCTTCTATTTTACAAATGTTAGTGCCACAAATGCTTTCGAGTCTTTTCCCATCCTTCCAAAATGCGAATGTTGGAAGAGCATTTACATCATTTTCTTCCACAGCAGACTATATGTAATAAAATAAAGGGTTAAAGACATACTTCAAGGTTTTCTATATTGATCTTTACAAAAGTAATATCGGGATATTTTTCAGAAAGTTCGTCATATGGTCTTGATGCCATTTTGCAAGGACCGCACCATTCAGCATAAAAATCAATCACAACTAATCTTTCTCTACTTTCTTGTTTAAGAGATTCATATTCTTCCTAATGTATTTTAAAAGATAATAAACTAATTAATTAATAAAATATGTTGGGAATGTAAGAAAGGCAAAATTGAAATAAAGTAACTTGTGTCTCCACTTCTTTCATGACTGTCAAAATATCGCGTAAAAATATATTAATTAATTTTTAAATGTACAAACAAAAATACAAAATATTTATGATAAATTTTATAAAATTAAATTTTATTTAAAATCAGATAATTTATTTTGTTTATTTATTCTTGTAATATTAGATTATTAATTGATATCTATTATTTATTCGGGAGTAGTAGTCTTCACACTTCACCATACTAAAAGTTCACATAAAAATGATTAATTTTCAACATAGTAAAAGCATACATACTTACAAATATTGAGGCGATATAGCAGATATGCATCCAATTATAGTTTAGATACATAGTGTGTAATATTTTTCCCTTTCTTTTTTAGATGAGTTTCTATGAGCGAAACTAGTTAGATAATAGTCTACAATATAGAGTTTGCTTACTTCCACTAACACTCCATTTATGCGCCTCTCTTCCAGAATAAGAACTGCATTCTACCTAGAGTTGAATTTTCCAAAATGATATATTAGACTTCCAATATCATTTACCTCCACGTAGTTTTGATTCCTAAACAGTATTCAAATCCAGGCTCGACTATAGGCTCGACTTCGCTTAGGTCTCATCAGCACCTACAGCATCGTATAATCTAGATGCGTTAATGGAAGAATGAGGACTACATATAAAATTAGATAAAGTAAATTTCCAGTCTCTCATCACCTTAAAGAAATTTGGATAGTTACAGTTAATATTCAAGATCTACATAGATATTATATCAAAACTTACGATCAAATAACCAATTGTTTAGTCTTGAGCAATTATTTTCGCAAGTAAAAGTATGAAGACCAAGATGGTGTTACCCATTTTATACTTGCAGTCTCATTTCGTTGTATAATAGTTATTTGACTTTGTTTTAGCAACTTGACCATATTGCCAAGAAGACCGAACGCAACTTGTCCGGAGTCCATAACGTGTATAATAATTTACATAGTAGGACCATGGACTTGGTACATTCCCAGATATTCGGCCGACATCGTGTCGGCCGAATCGTGTCGTCAGTGAGCTCTGTTATTCTTAGCATCACACTTCAACGCGTAACATAGACCAGTGAAATCGATCCTTTGACTAATTACCTGCTAAATAGTTATAGCATCTGTCCTGGGGTATTTACTAGTTCTATATCCTCGTATCACCCCTAAATAGCACAATGTATTACTTGTTTATGTAAACCTATATGAAACTTATTCACACTACCCGCTGGTTCCGGAATCCCTTACTGTTCAGGAGGTGTTGAATCAAAGCTGCGTTTTACTCCGCGATCCTCTTATTTCAGTCGATTCAATGTTATCTATCTATATGGTTGTAGAGGACAAGAGTTTTATATTTTGGAGATAGTCCAGGTCCTTCTTTTGGAACACTTAAGCCTATTCAAATAAAGTAAAACTATCCAATTTGGAGGTCGAAACACAAGAGGCTAGTGCATAAGAAAGTCATAGACGTGGGATTTTGGATAGAAGTGCGAAAGTTGCTTTGAACACCAGTGATATTTTGCTATTATCATATAGTTTAATCGTAGACATGGTCCATGAAGTCCACGAGATTTATTCGGTGGATAAGGGAATCTGCAGTGTTGAGTTCAGTCGCCATGCTGATTGTGAATCTAGACTGCATTGGTTAGTTTAGTGAGGTTGGCGTATATGTGTTCTCAAAGGCTTGATGCAGAGTTCAGAAGATGACTCCTTGAGTAGCACGTATAATGTGGCAACGAAAGAGTAAGATCAGTGAAACAGGCATATAAGGAACGTATTTGACGAAGCAAGAGAGAGACTCTGGTAGTTCCTAAAGAAAGAGATTTGCGAAGTACATTGCAGCCTTGTATCAACGTTTCGGACACAGTGGGAGCGATATCGAAATCAGCGGGAAGTGTGAATAGGTTTTAAATAGGGTTGGATTAATAAGTAAGAAATTGTAATATTGAAGGGGTGATATGAGAAGATAGGATAGGTGAATAGCTAAGTACAGAAGAAGAGACACTAATTAGCAGATAATTGGCCAAATGATTGACAAAACTTAACTTTTTGATGAGTTGTAGTTTGGTGCTGAGAATGACAAGGCTCAAAGACGATCCCAGATAAACATCTGGAAATGTACCAAGTACATGGTCTGACTTTGAAACGTATCATGCATGCTCTGTACTCCGGAAGATGTGTGTTCCTATGAATCTCCCTGCCAATTAGGCCAATTTGCGAAAACAATATCAATCAGCTACTATGTATAGTTAAATTGTTTTAAGAATTCCTTAGTGCGAATTTCCAAGTCTCAAAGATTTGCAGTAACTTTACACGAATATAATATAGTTCGTTCTGTATCAGGTTACCCCTATTTATTAGAACAATCTTGAATATGAATATGAATTTTTGGCTAAAATAAGGGTTACTAAATGTACTATGTATTTAGTAAAGCAGGATAAGCTACCATTTTTTAATTTCCTGGTGTGAAAAGTAAGTAATAATCTTAATATATATTAGTTTAGGAATCCTATACATGCCTGTTTATTTTCTTTCTTTTTTTTGTCATACATATGGAGCCAAAGTAGTAGTTACAAAATAGATTTTACTAAGGATTACCCGGCTAGTCGACTAAGAGCATTGAGACCAGTGATTGAGGGATGTAACATTCAAGAATAATAATCCGCTAAGATCAGTGGACAATCACTTTTCATTCTTTTAATGTAGGAATAGACGAAATATCTACTTAGGGCAGGGCTTTAATGGTCTATATTTCACAATATGAAATGGCTATGGATATGGCTGAAATAAGCTTTCTAATCTAAGCTTAAACAAAGCTGTTGGCACTCTGAATTGAATAAACGAGTGCATTAACTAGAGTGGAAATAATTTTTGCCTGTTGTATTAGCTTAGGAAGAGGGAAAGAGAGCAGGAGGAACCACTGAGCAAGATGCAGATGCTTGAATATCATAGAAACTGATTATGACCCTCAAGCTCAATGAGTTAAACATTCCTCGAGGGCAATACGCTAGTAACCAAAAGCATAAATGTGTGCCACCATTCTAGTATCAAACGCTAGTTTAAATTAGTAA